GATGTACTACTTTGTAGTTTCTAGAACGCTGGTTTCTACCTCATTGCTTTGCTATGTATGGTTTACATTCTCAGTCACTTCACAATCCAACGTGGATGTAGAGACTCTGGTCCTCAGGTTTGCATTCTAAACAAGGTGATAGAGGGCAAAGAACATCCCAGGTACCTATGTGATCTTCGCAGTCAGCTTACTACATTTGTCATGAGCTAACACCCAAGCAGCTGGGCATGGCTGTGAGGTATTTTCTTGATTGATTATCTGAAGTGGGGAGAATTAGTCAGTTTAGTCACCCTAAGTCTGGGCCACACCTTCACATGGAAGAAGGAAGCTTTTGCTTTGGGTTTGCACCAAGTTCTTCTAACCTGTTGCTGAGGCATTTTTCACTGTTGTTAGAACCCATTCCTTCATGATTCTGATGTGGACTGAAGACCCGTAGCTCTCTAAGCACCCCAGACACTCCAGCACCAGATCGGAACTACTGAGACTTCCAATCTTGTAAACTGAACAACTCCTTGATTCTTGACCTTTCCACTGGGAGACGGCCATTGATGATTGATTATCCAGATCACAGCTTGTAAACCACTCCAATGTATTCTATTGATTCTGTTCCTTTAAGGGAACTCTGACTAATAACATTATGAAATGCTAGATAAAGGAGTGAACGTGCCAATTGTCTACTGCCTTCATGTATATAAGGCATTATTTTTAGCTAAAGTAGTTTTCTATCAGCTCATTAGTAAAAATGTTGAGTTTGATCTCTGTTTGCACTACCTATCAGCTAGGAAATTCAGACCTCTGGGTTTGGGTAATATAACCCCACCCACCCCTTCTTTTGAAAATAAAGCTAATTGCACAATCCAGTACATAAAAAGGAAACCCTGTCATGATTGACATAAACACTTTGTCGTTTAAGAATTACAAATACATTAACTTCAGAGGAAGTTAGTCAATGAAAACAGAATATTTTTGATGAGTACAAAAGTGTTGTGGAAAGAATTTGTGGATTAAGTTTATAATAAGCCTCTCAAATAAATTGATTACTGCCTTTGTTTTGATACTGAGGATAGTTTGGTTCAGGGGCTAGCAGTCAGGAATGCTTTCGGATCTTTGTATTGTTTTGCTCATTTAATAATTTTATGATTCTCAGGTTGGATAGATATAGAGACACAAACAAAAGTAGTACAAGTTAACATACAGTTTCTAATGTTACACATATGTGTGTTTGTACATATTATGCAATAAAACATGTTAAATATGTTTTTGACATCTTCCTGTAGGTATCAAATAAATATGTGTGTATTTAGAAGACACATATTGCTGCTTATTGGATTAACAATGGCCTTATTCAAACTTAGATCGCTTACATTTTACCTTTGCTCTTTTACTTTTTTGGTGCTGCGGATTGTAACCAGGGCCTCTTGCATGCTACATAGGCTTTGTCCCTGAGCCACACACTTCCATTATTTCAGCGGTTTTAGGTGTACAATCTAATGTCACAAAATACAGACTTTTACTAGGCACGTAGAGTTGTATAACCATTACTATATGTTAGAACAAATGCAATTTTAGAACATTTATTTCCGCTCAAAAAGACTGTCTATTCTTATCTGAAGTCCCTTTTCTGTCCAAGCACTAGACAACTGTAAATGTTTACCTTCCTAAGCATTTCCTAAGTGGAATATCAAAGCCTTTTTACCAGATCTTCATTTGCTCAGCTGGCTTTTGGAGTTTGTCTGCTTTGTAGCATAACTCAGTACTTCTTTATCATTATTATTATTATTACACAGCACTATTCCCCTGTGCAGCTACACCACATTTTATTTATCTGCCTCTGAACTGAGGGACTTTCTGCTTCTTCCCAATTTGGGCCTATTATGAGTAATGCTACTATAGTCATTTGCTTATAGAAATTTCCCATGAACATAATTTCTAACTTCTCTGAGATTTCTAATAGTATCTTTGCTGAATCATGTTAAAATTGCATTCTAATATTTAAAGAAAACCTCAGATTGTATTAGATACCTGTAAGCTGTGTGTGGGTGTTGCAGTTTGATGGGGGGGATGTCCTTTTGTATGCTGTGAATATATGTTTCTCTTACTGGTTGATAAAGCTGTTTAGGCCAGTGGACAGTCAGGATATAGCCTGGCAGGAAGTATAGGCAGGGCTACCAGACTAGGAGAATTCTGGGAAGAGGCATCCAGAGAGTGAGTCAGAAGGGAGATTCCATGTAGCTATCGGAAAGGTAGGTCACTCAGGTATTCTCCACTAAAATAAGACCAGGTGGAGATACACAGATTAATAGAAATGGGTTAATAATTAAGAGAGAACTAGCCAGTAAGAAGCCCGAGCAGTAGGCCAAACATCTTATAATTAATATAAGTCACTGTGTGTTTATTAGGGATTGAAGGGCTGCTGGACCAGGCAGGGCAGAAACTTCATCTACAGCAATTTTTCCGTCCTCTCATGTACCTTGTTATTGTCTGTGTACTTTATTTTAGCCAGTTTAGCGATTATGAAGTAATAGTTCATTGGATTTTCAATTTGTATTTTTCAGTTACTGATGATAAAAGTCTGTGGGAAGTTGTCTTTTCGGGGCTACAGTTGGATCCAGCCGACTAGCCCACGGTTTGTACCTGAGACAGGGAGTGTGGAAAAGAAGGGTTAGCTAAAGGAGTTAAGAGATGAGCGTGAGACACAGGATACATGTCAGGAGGACCATCCAATCCATACTTCATGAACGCTGAACACCTTCGACACTCTTAAGTATCCAACCAAAAGTGGGGACAATGCCGGAAGAGTTCTATTATCATGTACAAGGGGCAAAGAGAAGAGACTTACTTCCCTTAATCCTCCGGGTATTTGGTAGCCACACAAGTCATGGATCACGAAATAGCTGTTTAGATCATTACCCCTTTTCCTTATTTTTTGATATTACATTGTAGCTATTCATTATTTATTCTGTATGAAAATTGTTCTTCTATCTTTTATGCTAAGAAAAAATACAACACTTGTATTTTAATTTAGCTTATACAATGAAGCAAAAGTACATAATATTTATTTATTGTATGTATAAATTATACATTTACACACATATATATGTAAAATACCATTTTTGTTTGATATATGACCTAGTTTGCTTTCTGTTGCAGTGATAAAATACCACAACTGAAAAAAACCTAGAAAAAAGTTTATTTGACTTAAACTTCCAGATAGCAGTCTATCAGTTAGGGATGTCAAGGAATGAACTCAAGTCAGGACCCTAGAGAACTAAAGCATGGAACCTGGAGGTGCTACTCATTGGCTTGTTTTCAGGTTCATATATAGCTATTTTTCTTACACCTTTCAGCATGACCTGTCCAGGGGTGGCACCACCCACATTAGACTAGGTCCTTCCACAACCAACAATCAAGAAAAAGACACAGAGATGTGCCTACTGGCTAGTCTGATGGAGGCATTTTCTCAATTGAGGTTCTCTCTTCTAGGTGACTATTTTGTATCCAATTGACAAAAATCAGCACAATATATGAATATATTTGCTTGTGCGCGCGCGCACACACACACACACACACACACACGGGTTGTTCTCATTTTAGGGGAAATATTATGAATATGGATACAAGTTGTTCATCCTACATTTGATTTGAATATATTCTCCCAGTCTGTGATTTGTATTTTTACTTCAGAATGTTTAACATATATTTTTAAATGATATGTACACAAAGAGTCTGCACAGTTCCTGAAGCCTGTATGCAGTGTCCTGGGATTATTATTCCACAATGTGAAATCTACAAATGACCATTAATTTCACCGACATTTAAGCTTGGCAAAATCATGCACTAGTAGAGCTGGAATGGGCCTAAATGACCTAATGCCCTTCCAACTTCCCTGCATTTTTTAAATGGTTCGATTGTCATTCCTGTACATCCAGTTTTATGGAGCACAGGGAGTGCAACTTAAAATCAAAACAAAATATGGGTATCTCGTTAATTGATGGAGGAAAGACGTGCAGGGGAAAAAATGAGTCATTTCTCATAACACTAGGCCATTTCTTCCGCTGGCTCAAGATAAAAAGAATCAGGTGTCAAAGAGAAGAACTTTGAGCTCTTAAAATAAGTGGGATAATAAAAATTCATTGTAGAAACAACTTGTTTAAAAAAAAGCCAACAGCAGCAAGCAAGAGCTCATGCATTTAGGGGAATGACAATGTCACACCAGCTAAAAGTGACTGCACTCTTATCATCATCCGAAGCCTCCTTTCCATTGAGGATTTGTGGGTGGGTTTCTTCTTAATATCTCTTTAAATTGACGTCTTGGTTTCATTTGAGCAGCTACTGTAAGCCTAAAGAGTAATTCATACTCTCATAAGGGAAACAAAGACGTTATTAAAAATAAAATTGTGAACCAACCACTGTGAAGTTTTATGTTAGTATACCTGTAAGTGTAAAAATAAGACCATATGCTGAAAAGCTTTTTATTTGAAATGAATGTAACTGATAATCCTTTACCTAGATTTTCTAAGAAAATTAAGAAGACAGAAAATGCGAAAATGCAAAATCAAAATGGGAACATGGCTGCAAATTTTACAGAAATAAGAAGAGTAGGGGACTTAGAAGATGGTGGACAGCACCTAGTCATGCCCTGCCGGAGTTTCTAAGGGATGAAGAAGGGAAAGTTACGTGGTAGCTCTCAGAAGAGGGGGGTGATTCTTTTATTTCCGGCTTCAATAGCAAAGTAAAGCAGAATTTTACAAAGCAGGAGAGAGAGCCCAGAATCCATCCAGGAGGGTTTGGCTTGGAGAGCTTCCTATGTCCTGTGGGAGAGAAGGCTGACAGAAGACTGTTAGAGGGTTGAAGGGCCTCTGAACAACTGGACTGTATACTCAGCAGTCAAGAGTATAGAGAGGTGGGGGAGTAGATGTACAAAGACAATAGCAGCATTGGTAGGAGGGAAAGCCCAGGCAACCCCCTCTTTTCAGCATTGGTTGTGTAACACTTTCTAGACAACCCTGAGATGCCACTGTGAATGGATTCCTGTTGCATGGGAGCTTGGCAGCCCGGGACCATGACAATGAGACTCTGAATATGCACAGTAAGTGTCCTGGGACTATACACCGAAAGCTGACCAACAGGATGCTGCTAGAGTGGGTGTTAGTTACTTTCCCATTGCTGGGATAAAATACTGTGGCTATAGTAACTTTAGGAGGAAAGGCTTTATTTTTGCTTACTGTTCCAGAAGAATAGAATTCACAGTGGTGGGTGGGAAGCAGAAAGGAGATCACATTTTTTCCCATACCCAAGAAACAGGTAAGTTAGTAGGATGAGGCTATAAACCCATCAAGTCTTCCTCCAGCGATGTACTTCATTTAACAAGGCTCTACCTCCTAAAGGTTTCATAACCTCCCCAAACAACACCACTAACTGGGGACCAAGTGTCTGAATACATGGACCTCTTGGGGACGTTTCTCATTCAATCACAATATGGGAAAAGTAACTTTGGCTCAGAACTACTCTGTTCCCAGTGAGCATAAAAGTGAGTCCTTTAAGGACCTCCCACCAGGCTCTAAGCAGACCTTCAGAGAGCAGATGCATTATTCCAAGGCAGGGCAGTATTCATCATCGGTTTCCTGAGAGGTCACCCAGAGGTGGGCACAGCATCTATGAGAAGCCCTACCACCTGCTCAGACCACATCTGTAACCCAGTCTCTGAAAAAAAAAATAGCCCTGACGTGAGAAGAAGACCACCAACTGCAACTACTATACCTCAGGGTTCGATCTTTGGGACCCATGTGGTAGACAAAGAACTAACTTCTACAAGTTGTCTTCTGACCTCCACTTGTGTAGTGTGGCGTACACACACACACACATATAGTATGCTATGCCCCCATATGTACAGACAAAATAAACAGCTGGGATGGAATGGCAGCAGGAGAAATAGTACTAGATGTAAAGTCAGAGTCACCTTAACACAATAATAGTGGGTGACTTCAATACTCCCAGTTTCCAGATTATTCTAAATAGAAATACCTGGGTTAAATAACATATAGACCTAGCAGACAAATATTCAAGAAGTAGAGAATACACATTCTTTTTAGCAACCATGTAATGTTCTCTACCCACAAAGCAAGTTTCAACAAACAGGAAAATTGAATAATTTCTTGTATTATGTTTGACCCCAGTGGACTATAGATAGAAATCAAATAAAGAGAAACTATAGAAACTACATACAATGTCATAGATATTCAACAGCATAGTATTGGATAATGAATAGGTCATTGAAGAAATTTAAAAGTCCTCAAATTCAATGAAAATGAAGACCCAACATATCAAACTCTGTGGGAACAATGAAAGCAGTCTTGAGAGGGATACTCACACCTATGAGTTATTACATTAAAAAAACAGAGTGATCCAACTCCAGAAGTGGTCCCTAGGCAAAGTTATAATCCCCATTTACTCTGATTAGGGGAAAATGGATTCACATTCCATTATTTGTAAAGTTACCTGATGTTTTCTTTTGTTATTTTTGTTACATCATTAATTTGTATTTAAATGTTCTGGACAATCTAATAACAAGTGCAAAAGTAAGGATGTAATAAAAATGAAAAAAAAAGAGTGATCACAAATGCATAGCAATACACCTTAAGGTCTTGGAAAACTAGAACAATCCTAATTCAAAAGCTGCAGATGGTGGTCATAGATGTTAATACATAGAAAGAAAAGAAAACAAACAAAAACCAGCCAGACAATAATAGCAAAAAATAGTCAATGAAAGGAAGATTTGGTTCTTTGAAAAGACAAGATAAACAAATCCTTAGTCAACTAATCAAGAGAGATAAAAAGGAGACATTTTGATAGACCAGTGGAATTTATAAGATCATTGGGACATACCTATAAAATTTATATTCTAATAAATTAGAAAAGTCTAAAAGGAATGGATGAAATTCTCGATACACATGACCTACCAATATTAAGATTAGATATGCAACCTAAACAGACCTATGAATAATGAGACCAAAGTAATCCACCTAAAAAATGACTAGGCCTAGATGTTGCAAAATGTTCAAATAAGTACTAATATTAATCTTCAAGCTACTCCATAAACTAGAAACAGCAGGAATACTACCAAAACTTTAAAACAAAGACAAGCAAACAGAAAAACCAAGAAAGCCAGTACAACCCTAATACCCAACCCAGATAAAATACATACCACACACATCATCAACAAAGATAATTATAAGTCAATCTCTCTGGTGAACACAAATATAAAATTTCTCAAAATATGTGGAAACTGAATTTAAGGGCATATCAAAATGCATGGGAATCAATATACTTGAGAGCGAAATTTCCCAATCATCTCAACAGATACCTAGGAGATCTTTGAAAAAAGCCCAATATCACTTAATGATAAAGACCTTGAAGAGATAGAACAAGAAGGAATCAAATCTCAATATAACGCGGGAGTCTAAAAACAAACCCGTTCTCATATTATGCTCAAGAAGGAAAACTCAAAGCTACTCACCTTTTCTGCTTTTCTTCAATATAGTGGTTAAGATCTTAGAGCAGTAGGACAAGAGAAGAACATGCAAGGGACACTAATAGGAAAGTGTGATGGTTGGTGCCAGTTGTCACAGAATCTAGTCTAGAATCACCTGATATGTCTGCAGGATTATCTTGCTTGTGTTAATTGATATGAGAGGACCCACATTGACTTTGAACTGGACAGTTCCCTTGGCAGGGCATCTTGGACTACACAAAACTGGAAAAGGAAGGTGAACACTAGGACGCATTTCTAGCTCTGTTTCTTAAAGGTGAATGCAATGTGGGCAGCCATTTTCAAGCATTAGCTAGCCTTGACCTTCCTGCCATGAAGGGCAGTGCCTTGGATTGCTAGGTGGAATTTTCTCCCTTAAGCTGTTTTTGTCAGGGTATTTATCACAACAACGAGGACAGAAACTAAGACAGAGAAGAGTAATTTATTTGTGGACAATGTTATCCTATAATGAAGAGATCCTGAAGACTCCTCCAGGTAGCTCTTAGAGCTGAAAAACACTTTCAGCAAACTGTCGGGGTACAAAATTAAAAGACCAAATCAGTACTTCTATGTCCCAATGGCAAATATGTTGAGAAACAGTCCTATTCAAAATTGCTTCAACATCCAAAAACCTAACAAACCGAAAACCTGGAAATAAGCACAATAAAGGAAAAATAGCTTTAAAACAAAGCAGAAAGAAACAGAAGAAGGCACTTGAATATGTCTTCTTCATGCTCATGAATTGGAAGAATGAAAATTGTGAAAAAGGTCATCTAATTAAAAACACTGTACAGATTCAATGTTTTCCAAACCAAAATGCCATTTCTACATTTCATATAAATAGAAAAAAGAAATAAATCTTGAAATCCATCTGGAAACACAGAAAACCTTGGATAGCCTAAGCGATCCTGAGTAAAAAGAATAGTGCCTGGTTTCTTGTTGTACTGCAGAGCCATTACTATATAAAATCAATTGTCAAAGAATAAATTAAATTAGAAAACAACAATGAATCTTTCTTAAGTGGTTCCAAAAGTAGTTGTAAAGGAAGAAATTCTTTTTATTGTGTGAAGTTGACATTACCCTGACACCAAAAGTAGACAAGACAATAAGAAAAAGGACTGTAAAGCAATATCTTTTATTTTATTTATTCTACGTGTCTTTTACAACATGTATGTTGGTCCTATTCACTTCTCCATCTCTTCTTATCCACTCTCTGCCCCTGCGTACACACTCCAAATGAAACAAAATTTCAGACAAAAAAGGAAAGAAAAAGAAATTAAGGAAAAAACTTAAGAAGTCTCATCATGGAAGTAGCAGTGTGACAGTGTGAGTGACACCTCGTACTCTTTTGTTCACATATCTTGCAAGTGTTCATTGCAAAGAGCCATTGGTCTGGTTCGAGGCCTCTGGTTTCTAACACCCTATGGATGCGGGGCCCCCAAGCTGGGTCCCTTCATGTGCTCCAGCAGATGGTAGATGGGGCAGATGTTGGAATGGGCCAAGTCATAACCCTGGGTCTAGGCCTGAACAACTGTAGAGGGGGTCCACCAGATGTGAAATGGGGACAACTCTCCCAATCTCACAACTTTGGGGCTCACTCACCCACACCTGCACTAACAGGGTTGGCTCTCCCACTGTTATGACCACAGGGCCAAGCACAGTGTCTTTTATAAACATTGGCACAAAAGCCCTTGACAACAAACTAGCAAATCAAATTCAGTAATATATTGAAAGGATCATACACACTGGCCAGGTGGGGTTTAACTATGGAATGGGAGAACAGTATTTCTGTCTGCTTGCTTATTTTGACAAAGGTAGAAGAATACATCCAAAATTCATGTAAATATAAAGGATTTTGAATAGCTAATGCAGAGCTAAAAGAAGTAACAAAATGAAGGTATCAAACTTTTTATTTCAGAATTTACTACAAAGTGAACATAACCCAAACAAAATGAATTCAATGGACCAATATTTTTGCTTTCCTGTCCCAGAGCTTTTTATTAGAAGTTCTTCTAATTAGCTGGGTTTTGTCATCAAGTAACTTTTTTGGATTAGGATTTCTTTGTCATTTGACAGGATATATTCTTTTTGGTGTGGTGTTAAGACTAAAATCCAGGGTCTCCCACAAACTAGGCAAGTGCTGTACCACTGAGCTATCCTCCAACTTTATTACTTTGACACAGACAAACCATGGAAGACAAAGAATCGTGGTGACACTATGGAGATTCAACATAAAGAAAATAGCAATATAATTTAAGGTGAATAAATTATAAATGTATTTTCTGAGACAGCCATAATAAAATAGCATAGTCTTGGTGACAAATGATAGAAATTTATATCTCAAAGTTTAGTCTTGAAGTTCAAAATTCATGTGGTTAGATCTGGTTCCTCTTATTTGCTTGCATAAGACTATCTGTGTTTTATTGTCACATGATCTTTTTGTGTGCAAGCATCACTGGTGTCTTTGTGAGTCCAAATTTCCTCTTGTTAGGACACAAGTCAATTTGGACTAAGGCCCACACTAAAGGCCTCCTTTTAAGTTAACCTTTTCTTCAAAGACC